CCACCCCTCCGCCCACCAAAAAGGCTTATTCCCGGCTGCTTAGTTCCACCGGCAAATTGCAAAAGCATCTCGGAGACAACCCGAGTTAAAGAAATAACACAAAAAGCCACCTGGCAGCTGCTGCTGCTGCGGCACTGGGGGCTGGCTCTGCGGGGGTGCGACAGACCCCACTCCAGTTGATTTCGTGGCCGGGACATCGCCGGGACGTCGCCGGGACATCGCCTCGCCACTGGCTCCTGCCCAAGCTGCCATTTTTTTACAGTACGGCTCAAAACCCCGGGCACGGCTGCTTCCAGCCCAGCCCACGCCAACTGCCCTTGGAGCAAGAGGGCTTTGCTCCCTGGAGGAGCCCCAGCGGGGGTGTCCCGCCCGCCCGCTGTCGTCCCAAACCTTGATGCAAGAGGTGAAGCCAAAGGAAGTGCAAAAATGAGGATGATGGGGGCAAACGGGCTGGAGCCGGGGCGTCCCTAAGCCCCTGGGCCAGCTCGGCAGGGGCCTGCCTTGGGCATTGGGGTGTTTCGGCATTTTGGTTCAATCAGGCGATTCAGCCTTTTCCACGGAGACGCTTCCCCCGTCCCAGGACATTTGGGCAGACGGAGGGACAACAGCCGGGATGGGGATCACCCGCTCGGAGCAGCTCGGGAGGATGCTCGGCTGATACCGGCCACGGATGGGGAGAGGCTCCTCTCTGATGTGTTATCAGAAACGCAACAGAAAATTCAATTTCTGCCCTCCCTGCTCCTTTACTCTCCAGGCAGCGGCACCACAGAGACGTGGAGGAGGAACCAGCCGGGCAGTTTTAATATTTAAATCGCTGAGTTTTCTGTAGGGTTCCGCTCACTCCCAAGTTCAAGTGATTGTCGAAGAAGAGATGCTCCGTTTCATTATTTACGCTGGTGCCGTCTACGCGCTCGCTATCGTTCAGCACCAACCTCAACAGCGGATGATAATAGGATTGTAAACTTTTGAAGTTAATAGGAAAATTATAGTGCTTCTGTGTATTATTATAATGCAATAAGCTGCCACATAGTGTCTCTCACCCTGCAGGGTATCACGGCTTGTCACCCAGCCTAGGAAGGTAATGATTAAAGCCCCATGAAATTCGCAGTGCCACAAAAGTCTTAAGAAGCATGAAATTCTCTGTTTTCCATTAAAAAAATTTAAAAATTGCATTTTGACGTAGTTTTAAGAGATACCTGTTAATTCCAGATTTGCTGCAGTGGCACAGAGGTCTCGTGCAGACAAGCTCACCTCGCGTGGGAGCTGAAAAACAAGAATCAGGAGAAAAGCAGTTTCTTTAGTGCCTCTTCTGCTGCAAAATGGTCCAAGGGACATTTCCAAAAGCGCCCACGGGGTCCCAGGGCCCCGGTCCCAGAGGTGGCTTTGGCCCCTCGGGGCTCCGTCCGTCTCTCCTGCATCCCTGCAAGTGCAGGTGTGCAGGATCCGTCCCGGCTGGGACGAGGGCAGGGCTTTGCCGGGGGTCGCTCCCACGCCGCGGGGCTGGACGGAGGGCCCGAGGTGCCAGCGCGGCCGACGAAGCTGCGAAATTAAAAAGCTTTCGGTGAGCTCCTCTTCCAGCTAACGAGCCTGGAGACATGAAGAGGATAAAGGCGCCGCGTGCCCGTCTCTTCCCATTCCCAGCATCACCTTTAATGCACGATTAAGTGAGCAGGGCTGTTCCAAACAGTTAAAAAAAAAATTCCCGTTCATACAAAGGCAAGGAAGGAAATGTGCCGGCTGCCCCGATAAACCCCTGGCAGCCCGGCGGTCGCGTGCTCC